GTAATATTGTGGCACTTGCTACAGACACACGGTGAGCAAGTACGTCAGCAGCATCATTGACTACAAAGCGCGCGCCATTTTGCTCCATGTGTCGGCGTCTTTGGTAGAGCTCTCTTGTATTGGGGCTCTCGATTATCTTCTCTGCTTTGAGGTGTTTTCTTCGGGTTATCGATATTTTTCCCTCATCAGAAACCCGACCAAGTGAAAGTTATACAACTTTAGGTATTCATTAGCTTTTTTGTCCTGATAATTTTGTGATTTTTTTTATTTATTTATTTATATTTTGCGATTTTGTCCACAATAAATAAGTTTTTTTCAGGATACCAAGATTTTCCTAGACGAATGTCTCTTTTGAAGGATGAGGCAAAAGATTTCATATTTCCGAAAATGGCCACAAAAATCGCCGCAAAAATCGCCAGTGTAAACGGGGCTTAAAACGCGCGCATGTCTCTGTACTGTGATATACTAAACGCAGAGAGCTGTAGAGCGAGAGAAGCAATCCTAAAAACATGAGGTGTAGCCCAGTTATCTCTTGCTTCTGGAGTGCTCTACAGCTCCCAGTGTTTATACTTACAGTAGTGAAACATCAGCGCTACATCAACGACTTTGCGCTAGTGTCTCTCTCCTCTCGTATAAACACGCTAGTCAGCCAATCAGCGCGCGCGTTATATTTCAAATATTTCATAATCATTACCCATTACCAAACATGAGAAGCGCTTATCACAAAACGATAGCTTGGGCTCCCTGTGTAATATTTGGGTTTAGGATTCCATAGCCGCAAAATGACAATCTTGAATAATTCGTTAATAATCATTTAATTAATAAGTTAAATCTATTTACAAGTAAAACTGTCACACACAACATAATGTTTCAAGATAATTTAAAATACTATATAAATACTATTGAGTGGTTTTCTGTTTTCGATCTTCGTGCAACTTCTTCCTTCCTTCCTTCCTTCCTTCCTTCCTTCCTTCCTTCCGCGTCTTTCTTTCGTTTATCCTTTCTGTTTTTCTTTCCTTCCTTCATTTTCCTTCGTTCGTTTCCACTGTCGCTTTTTCTTTCCTCGTGGYTCTTTCTTTCTTTTTTCCTTCCTACCTACTTCTTCTTTCGTTTATCCGTTTCCACTACCACCTTTCTTCCTAACATTTTCTTTCTTCTTTTTCTTTTTCCTTCTTATTCAATTTTCTCCCCTTGGAATAGGAAGGTTTCGTTTACTTGGCTTGTGCTTATGACGAGTGGTTTACGTTTTTACTTGCAATTACAATCATGAATAGTTTCCGACTCCGATAACGACACGACTATAATCAAGTCTTTAGCGAAGCAAGCACAAAGCAAGCACAAGGCACTGGATCGCCACACTAGATTTTTTATCTTTGATCGCCTCGCGTTATGAAATCTTGGCTTAGTCAATAAAATAACCCCTTTATACTTTACTGCAACTGTGGTTTGACTTAATAAAACAATAATAATTACTTAAACTTAGTGCCACATAAAGTTCCCACTTGTATATAATAAACTCTTCTGAATTATTTATCTGCACCATATATACATTACCCACATTAAAATTTAAAGTCGCGTTAAGAGCTTTGTCGCGGCCTGGAACAGTATTTTTGTCCATGGCAAAGTTTTACCAGTACTTATATTARTACTTAGGTCTTCTTATGTTTTTCCAGCCATTTCTGGAATAGATTCCCCCGTAGCCTCGYATTTAAATGCTTCAGGATGAGGTTACAGTTGGTAATTCTCATGGGAATAAATATGGCAGTGTGCGATCAATGCCCATGTTTTATCAGGCTTATTACAGCTCTTTTCACGTTATTGCATCCAGAAAACTATGACAAAATAAGCTTTAAGGTTTATCTGTTTCTGTCCATCATTGTTATCAGCGTCTGGATGAGTATGTTAGACTGACTAAATTAACTCCCCCCACYCCCTCCCCCAGATGACTAGATTGAGGTGGTTGCAAAAACATAGAAAGTGTTCTAAGTCTATTTCTAGAATTAGGGCTAACTGACTGATTACCTGCTGACTTTAAATATGATTCGAGAAGGGGTGGGGGTGGTGATGCAAGTCAGAGGTTAGAATGAGAGAGATGCTAACAGGGCCTTGAAGAAAAAAGAATTACCCAAGCTGAGTTAACAGAACAAATGGCATCGCATCTTACATCTCACCCGAGGAGCCATAGGTTTGCACCTGCATTGAYGACTCATCGATTAATCTTTGTCGATCGGCTGCAGTTCGGAAAGTCTTTCTTGTCCAACCATAAATGATGCTGTTCAAAAAGCCTTGTAATGGTGCTGTGAGAGCCTAACAACACCAAAAATAGAAATTAGGTAACAGCTCAACTTAATTCCAGGGCTCAAACTTGATCTGCACCTGTAATGCTACTTGGTACAAGCTAGCAGGGGTAATATTGTTTATTCTCTAAATCTAGCTTTGTTGTGATTGTACCATGGTCTGATACTTGAACAAACAAAGGATATGTAAAATAGAGGATATTACATGGGTGTGCGGAGATACGAAATTTATCTTCGAGTGTTGAAAAGATCTCTCACAAGTGAGCGCAGCGAACGAGTGAGAGATTTTCAACACGAGAAGATAAATTTCGTATCTCCGCACACCCATGTAATATTCTGTTTATTATATAATTATCAATGAAGTATGTTTTGGCTTTTTCAGGCAATTCTTTCCGTGTATTTTTGAATAGCCATCGCAATGGTGTTATTTTCACACGTGAAAATAACATGTTATTTTCACGTGTGAAGATATCAGTTTTTCGAAATAGAGAAAAATAGATATTTCATTGGTAATTATATAATAAATTGTTTTCTTTTGCTTTTCTGGCAGCAAATCATTGAGGAAATTGACCCATTGTCAGCAATGAGATTTTTCGCCAGGAGGGAGGAGRGGATTTATATTAATGTAGATATCATGATATCAATGGATCAATGCTTCTTCTACGTATATAATATTTAACCTTTATTTGCCTAAAGCGAAGTGATTATTAGTGGAATATTTACGAGGTAAATATCACCATAATCACTAAGCCTGAGGGAATAATTGTTTTAGTATAATTTTAGACTTGAATATCAGAGAAAAGTTGAAATTCAGGATAAAAAAACGTTTCAGTATTTTTATTTCCGATCAGRAAAATTTTGGAAAACCTAATAATCACCGCTCCAGCTCCGCTGTTCCTGTTCCTGCTCCAGCAATGATCATAGTCTTAGAATCACTGGTCTCTTGACCAATCACAGCTCAAGAAACTCTRTATTCAAGTCTGAAATATTTTTTAAAATTATACTACTTAGCAGTTGTTCGCCGAAGGTGAAGTGAATATCRGGGAATATTTACTGAGACGCGAGTCTTCGGGCGTACAATATTCACCTCCAATTAACCAATGAGCGCRTGCRTTCTTAGGAAGTACACAAGCACACAGTTCCCAACTGAAAGCTTGCATACCTGAATGTAATATGGTTGGTCACAAATGGWTGAATGTTTGCCGAAGATCTTGTGTAAGTCTTTACATGCAATAACAAAAGCTGGAAAAACAAGTGTTAAAAAAATACAAAACAACAATAAAATTTAYTTTTTATATATTTAATAYACATGTCCAAACTTCAAACGTAGTATAAAGGCAAAAATACCAAGTGGGTTTCCTGTGGCTTCAACACAGGAAGCCCAATCCACATGGAAATAWGGATAGTCTACATACAAACATACCTGGGAACCAACAGATAATAAATATGAGTATGAACAGAAATATTCGCTTCCTCATGTTAGCCATGCTTGTACGCTGTGTGTTGGTATGATATCCTAAATGATGATAGATTGCAGAGGTTTTAGTTACATAAGCTTACATAGTTTACATAAGTTTATATAAGGTCGTACAAGAATGTGGTTCTTTTCACAGCAGCCTCACTAGTGTGCATATATGARAACTGCAAATGCTGGTAAGTCATCCAGTGGACTTCTGGCTTTTTAGTACTGTCTTGTTGTATCCCCCCTGACCTGCAGTAGCTCTTTCCTAATCCCCCCCTCCCCCATCTCAGCCAGGACTGCCTCACCAACGGACTACTTTGATGATGTGACCCCCCCCCCCCTAGTGAATGAGACATCCTCACATTACCAACATAAATAACCACAGCTAGCATACCGCATACCAATGGCAAGTTGCCAGGTGCTGGATGGAAAGCAAAACAAAAACAAAAGCACTGCTTGTTTGTACTACCTGAATGCTTGAGTGCCTTGGTATAAATTCTCTCTGTCATGTAGTACAATATCTGGAAAAAATAGAAGAGTAAATCAAATGTAGTATTTGACTTTATCGTGTTCATGCTCACCAGTAGTTATAACACACTCACCAATAGCAACAGAATGGAGAATGCAAGAGAGATGATCATCATGAGAGAATTATATATAGCCCATGATGTCTGTAAAACAACAATTTCAAAAAATGRATGAGAGAAACTAATGATCGAAATGGGACAATGAATAACAGGGGTATTTCCAGGATTTTCCCTGGGGGGGGGGGGGGGGGNGGGGGGGGGTATTCAGACAGGATTTGGGTAGGGGTGTTCCGCTGGGATTCTGAAAGGGGTACCCTGTTTATGACAAAAAAACTCAAATTTGTAGATCTTTTTTATGACAAAAGATATAATTTATTGCACTGAGTTCCTGTTTCAATTATCATGCTCGTGTATCACTTTTTGAAGACCATAATAACCTGTTTCGGTCAATACGAAAGGAGAAAACCGGGATTTGACWGAAAACTCAGGAAAAAATTGAAACTTGAGTGAAATTGCATACCCTGTTTATGACAARAAGCTTGAAAAACCATACCCTGTTCAGCTGATCATCCCCGTATAGTCCATATATGGGAGTACCCCCCCCCCCYRGGGATTTTCCATCCAATTGATCTAAAATGGTTAACAAATAAAACAGCTTCTTCTGTGCTACGYTCAGTAATAAAGCACACAGTGAGTGAGTGTTTCTCACACTTCTTGAGTGCTTACAGCGCTTCCTAAGTACTTTATTACTGAGCGGAGCATGGAAAACGCTGTTTTATTTGTTTTATTATATATTTACTGATTTTATTTTGGTATTGAATTTATTTATGCAAAAAGAAACAAGGTCGCAGCATCTAGCAACACTTAGCGCACATGGATGATGTCAGCACTGTGCTCTGTTCAGCATGCACGTACTATCCGAACTATAATATAATGTCATATAAATGAYGTCACTTCAAAGCTGGGGTGTCATAAATAAACCAGTGAGAGTAAAACATTGCAATCAAAATATAAAACTCATGAATTATTGTGTCACTGCTATGAAGCATGAAGTAGCAACGTTATTTTTTTCATTTGGATGCTCATAGATATTGGTGATTTCAAGAGGAAAAGTGACCTCAGTTTTGGAAATTTTCTCACCATCCCCCCTCCCCCCCCAATAAATGCACCCTGGGACTCCTATTGAATTAATTTACTACATGCATTCCACATGATATATATAACACAAATATAACATCTTATTTGCATATTACACAGGTATCCCAAGAAAAACACCACAACACTACTTACGTCTACARGATTGGTGGTGCTAGGAAACTTTGGGTGATCAAAGAGAAATAAACACCTAAAAGGGATAAGTTCAACAATTAAAGTAATAAATTATTAGTCAATATTAATATTTATAATAGTAATGATGAAAAGGTAAATTATACATCTTCTAACGGCAACAATGATTGTCGCAAGACCAAAGAAATGCGGCTTATTCACCTATTGGGCACTCTTAGTCCCAACGGGATTAATGAACGCTCTACTTTCAACTAACCTTTTCTTTTDTCTTTTGMTTGTTTGTTTTTGTTTCCTTGYCTACHTTGCTCTCATTGGTTTCYTTTGTCTTATTCTATCATATATACACTCCTTTCTACCACTTCTTTCTCTTTTACTCCRACGAAGGACTAGCRWMCRAAWCGTCAGTAAGTTTTTTCWTCTTTTCACGGTGTATAATTTACCTTTTCATCATTACTGTTTCATTAGAAACACCGACGCAGCTCACACTAGTTTTTAGCTAGTTATATCTTAATATTTATAATGATCTTCTAACAAATTCATGTAACTTCCTTTAGAATCAAGTYTTAGGGGTAAGAAAAGTAATAGTAGTCAAGGAAATGACAGGGCTTATTTCTCAATTGACACGGTTTTCTTTGTTATTCACAAGGCTTTACTTTTGTTATAACCCTCATTATAAATGCGAGGTCAATATATAGTTATTAACCCGGTTAATAACTATATATAGACCGTTCGCATTTATAATGAGCAACATTTGATAGAAAACCTTCTCAATTGGGAAATAAAATACTTAATTACCTCGAACGTCGGCAATAAGCCTATACATCCCTCGGGCCTGCGGCCCTCGGGATGTATATGGCTTATTGCCTCCGTTCGAGGTAATTAACTCTTACTTTTTAAATCTTTATTGTATGACCTTTAAAATGATATAATATCATAGTTTTATAGGGTTTTGTTGAACGTTTTAAGTAGAGAGAGTCTTAGACAAAACATAAATTATCATAAAGATATTGCATTAAAGATACATTTATTTTTTACCTTGAGCAGAACAAAGTTTTGTTTTTTGCTTCAGTATCCAGTCCTTTAAACTTTACAACAAGAGGAATGATCATGGCAACTGGAATGAGCCTGTGGAAGGATAGATAAAAAGAGTCCATAAAAAAAGTGTGTGCAATTGGYGTAAATTTTGAATAAAATCTGTTTTTCTTTTGACCTTGTCTGAGATAACAAGTATGGTGTAATAGACATGCATGACGACCTTTTATACCTACACTTCAGAATCCCTTTCAGTAGCTTTTTTGTCATGCTATTGTTCACTATTGTCGTAGTATTCTCAAAGGAGTTTTAATATTTGAATATGAAAAAAATATTTTGAAAAGGATCGTGGTAGGGTATTAAGGTATCAGGATACCCCAAAATTGGTCAAAAGTATCGATTTTAACATTTTTGCGATAAAATATATAATATTCTTCAATTTCCCCCCAAAAAAATTTCAATAGTGATTTTTAATAGCGAGTAATAAAAAAACAAAGGAGCTTCCGCTTAGTCAGAAACATTTTTGCGTTTTTCTCGGAAGTGATTTTGCGTTCAGTTACCCTTACATTTTGAGTCCGATGTCAAAGGGAATTTGACCGATTTAACTGAAATTTTGAGGAAGTCATCTTGGATAGTTGTTCTTCAAAAGWGTGTCTCCGATTTTTTAATTTTTGCTTATTTCCAAAGTTATCGTGGATTYTGGCTTGCATACCGGTGATATAGCAGCGTCATAACGTCATAGCGTCATAAAGAGCGTATAAAAAAGCAATGGGGCAACTAATCAAAAATCGGAGACACMCTTTTGACAAGTGATGTCTTGTGATTTCRGAAAGGTAATAAGCATTAGTTTCCGATCATTAACGGCTGTCGTCGAACTCCGCGAAGATGCCACAGTGAAAATTTGAATAATTCGCTCTAACTTAAAAGGATAAATGTATTTTACAAAAAGGAAAAAAGGAATAGTTTCTACATTTATTCAGCTTTCAGAAAATGTATACTTTGTTGAGGTTTCCATTAAAAAGTTTTGTGCTATTAAGAGTTGAATGCACAATGGTCGCTAGGGGTACCCTGATACCTTAAACATTATGGTTGAGGTCTATGTGGACTAGAGCTTTGAAACCAACATATTTTGTTGATATGTTGTTATGATCATGCTTCATAATTTGTTGTTCGTAACAAAGCTAGTCCATAAAAAAAGCATCCTGTTTAATTGAACTTATTTGACACCAATCAGTACACTTATGTTATGTATCAATTATCTAATAGATTTATAAATTAAATGAGTATACATTACCAGCAGCCCAGGTAAAGTACTCTAAATGTCCAGGTATAAAAATCGCTAGTTGATACCTGAAAAATGTACAAAGTTTAATAAATTATTACTAATTAATGCTAGCCCTCTCCGCAGACGACTCTTTGTTCTTTTCTCTCTTTTCCTATACTGGGCTTCCTGTTTATTTTCTTTCTCCCTGCCTTAGTCTTTCTCGTTTTCATCACAGGAATCTTGAAATCTCAAATAGCCACAAAAACCTGARCAAGTAGCATGGACAGGAGGCTTAATTAATGATTAAATAATTTTAAATGAAACAACTTACCGTGGTAAAAAGCAGATTATGAAGCCTGAATGTTCTTTCTTTTAAACGTATATAGACATTGATTCCGTAATTCACAGTCAGAAAGAATGAGATGACAAAGAAAGCCTAAATGAGATAAAAACAAGTTGCTTTAATAATATAAGCCAAAGAAAAGTAAGATTCATTCRATTATTTTATCATTTTATCTAAATCTTGTGCATTATGAGATTCATCTGATTATATATTTATTAAATTATTAATTTTACTCAAAATTGTGTAAAACATTTATTTGAGATTTTGCTGGCAGGCTGGTGCTGCACAATAAGACACAGAGTCCCCTTTGAGGTATTTTGCACCAATTGCCAACCCTGTAGAATCCCAATACCCATCCTACGATCAACCCATTAAGAAATCATTAGTAAAGCCCAGACACTGACGGTGGTCACTGCAGGGTTTCTTTACATCCTCAGTGATTCTTTTACGTCCCTCCATTGCAGGGTGAGGTAGTGTGGAGAGACATGGGACCACGATTTTAGGTGGTCATCCGAGCCACAAGAAGGTCTAACCATTCGTAGTTGTTATTATTAAGGCAGCACCTTCTCCTCAGTTATTTTAAGACCCTGAGTGTTGGTCTGGCTGGGACTTGAACCACAACCTCCCCACGAAAGTCTGATGCTCAACCAACTGAGCCAACTGGGTAAATTCACATTGCATACTAGAATTAATTTCATCAATAACATTGCATCCACATTATTACAATATTACACATACTCTACCTCTTCAACACAATTAAAATAGAAACAGTCCACTCGGTGATGTTCTCGAAATGCAAACAAAATAACTCCTATTACTGACATGACAGCCAGAAGAAGATTTGCAACAGCCAAGTGAAATAACGGTTGTACCTAAAAAGGAAATTTAATTTGTAACACTGAGCTTGATTATTGTTTTGTTACAGATACTGCACAAATAAAGCACACAGGRCTTAAAATAACAGCTGATCAATAACCCACTTCTGAGATATGCTTCGCTTGTCATGCACAAAGGTTTCAGCATGAGGCTACTATTGCTGGTCATGATCACAGGCAAAATTAGTTTAACTTAGTCACCTCATTTCTGGATAAACAATGCTGATCAAAATGACCATCAAGGCAAAGATTTGAMCGGACAAGTCCCAGTTCTGGCTGGAAATTGTCTGACATGTCCGGCCATTATCTTAGCCCTAAACACAGATGATAGTAATGGGGTGATATAATGAAGTTAAAGATCAGCTAAACTCAATCTGTTTGAGTATCTCTAACATAGATAGTGTTGTAGATAATTAATTTCCATGCACATTAATATTCAGCATATTTAGGTAAGCTTATGAGTAAGTTTATTATAGCAGCTGATTTGAAAACACCMAGGAATTATGAAACATCAAAGCATGTCCATCTATACTCCACCCCTTCACTTTTGGTTTTAATATTGAAATAATTAATGTCATTCCCCTAAATGCAAGATTCCTYGTTTGAGTTACATCCACATAACGTCTTCTTAAGCATTTATTATAAACAGAGAAATGGTACTCAAGGGAATGACATGTGGGCTGAAATAGGAAAAAAATAAAGAAGGAATTAAACTTGGTACTTACTTCAGGGCTGTTTACGATTTTTTTCCACAGAGAATAAAATATTATTGAACCAGCTCCAAAAATACTGATAACAAAAAAAATGTAGAATATGAAGATTAGAAAATTCTTGTTTTCTGGCCATAAAAATGAAATGCGGAATGTGAAGATTAGAAAAAGAAAYGTGGAATATACAGATTTAAAAAATGATTGTTTTCTGACCATGAATGGAAGAAAAACGTTAATCTCAAAATATTTTTTATGGATGAGGTGGTTTGAGAGAACATATTTTATTTTTTTCCGGTCCGGTATCCTAAAAAATTGTGCGTTCTGATTGGCTGTTTTAGCGGGCAGTATTTTGTCAGGATCTGACCGTGCGCGCGGTATCCTTTGCCGCTAAATGACAACACAAAACGATTACGAAAACAAGTAAAAAAATGTGGAAAAAAAAAAAGTTATTTACCGTCCTATAGTCGGTCCGGATAGGGAAAAACTGTGCCCTCGGTCTTGAAAATGGACCTCAGTCTAATGGCCTCGGTCCGTATATTCAAGACCCCAGGCACAGTTTTTCCCTATCCGGACCTCCTGGCCGGTAAATAACATACATACCTTAGAGTAGATGAACAGCAGTAAACAATAGCAGATGCCTTGACCTGTAGGGGAAAAGGTGAAAAACATAATATATCATGCAACGACAACTTTAACGTTGCCATAATTTTACAAGCATTTTACGTGCATAGTTTAAGTAAAAAAAATCAAACAGTTTCTTATATTTTTGAGAAGACAATATTTTGTGGTATTATCGTTTCAAAATTAAGGTATCTGATTGGCTAACGTGTGACGAAAAGGAAAGCTTGAGCTTGTGCGCGTCAAATTTTTTACGCTCATTGCTTGGGCCATAGCGCGTCCTCGTAAGGAGAATTTCGCTTTTAATCGATGAAAATTGGTCAGTTTTTTTCCGTTTTTTGTGTTAAATTCTTTAGAATCGCAACTCCGCCCAATACCGAATATATTTTCTCCCAACTAGCCGTCAATATTTCGTGGTCTTGTCGTCTCAAAATCGTAATTAGTTTATAATATTCCCAATTAAGCCATGTGAAGCTGGATCACATATTGGGATGTTATGTGTGATCCATCCTAGGTTAAAAAATATCATTATGAGCAGCGACTGACTGGCCATGGATATGCAAAGCATAGAAAAAAGTTAGTATACGCAACACCATCTTTTTTCACAGACACAAGCTGCACTACAAATATATGATCACAGCATTAGTCATGTTGGATGGCAAAAAAGTCATGACTCTATATGCAGTACCCCCTCCACCTCCAAAGACACAACTTCCTTCTCAAATAGAATCCTGGAATTTTTTTTTCTGTTTTTTTTTTCTTTCTTTTTTTTGATTTAAGTTAATATCTATTTGGTCTCTTTTACATTTTTATTGTATTTGATTTAGATGCACGACCCCATATAAAGCGTTCGCTTTAATTACTTATTGTGTTGAAATAAAGTCTATGTATGTATGTATGGATGGATGGATGGGAAAATATCAAAACAGTGAAAAATTCAGATTTTCCCAGTGAACCTTACATTTAAATGCTTCAGGATGAGTTTATAAGGGGGAAACAAATGTAACAAGAAATCTTAATGAAAAAAATCTGGAAAATATTAATATCATCTAAGCGACATAAAAAGATAAAAACGCGATCAATCTTGTGCTGAATAGAAAAGAAGTCAATCTTGTACTGGATAGAAAATACGAACGAAGGACTTGAAGCTATAAATACCAGTGATCAAATAGAATTTTGTTGCAACCATCAACAGATCCATGGATATTTGCAAAGCTTTGAACTCAACATTTTCAAGTTAATCTGGGAAAAAGTCTGATATATATTTTTTAGGTATACTTACTTTAGTGTTGTCAGTAAAACAACAAATATCACGCACTATTTCAATCCTAATTTTTCCAACTTGAGTCATATTCTCCCACGGCACCGTGCCCGCCATCTTTGTTTACTTCGCCTATAAAGATGTCAAAATATCGTTTCCTTTGACATGAATTATGACGATTTACGCAAGGTATTGATGGAAAAACGAAGATAGACGAAGTTATTGATAGCTATTGATCACATTGATGTTGTTTTKAAAACGTTTCTCGCGAGATTTTGTACATTTTGTTTCGGTTTCTTTTGGATTACGTATAAAGTTACCGWCAAACAAGAAGACTGGAAAGGAGGAAATGACCTGCCAAAGATCGCCAAAGAACCCTTGGGACTGGAACAAGAGAGGTGTGGAGGGGGAGGGGTTTAGGGCAAAATGACGGGAATATGTAATTTATAAATTTGAACTATATTTTTGAAGCTTAGACCTGAACGTGAACTATAATAAAACTATTGCATAAYCAAGGCTTTTGCCCCTTCTATTTGTTGAAACCATTGAAACATAGTTAGCCTCGGCGCCTTCTAAATCAGGTGAAGGGATCAGTGGCGGATCCAGGGGARGGGYGTAGGGGGTGCGCACCCCTCCCTGGTTCGACTTTGTACCCCTACTTCAAAGATTTAACCAATACATAATTGTTTTTCCCTTTGATTTTAAGGGGTGCACCCCTCCCTGGGATAACTATGTGTGCTGCACCCYTCCCTGAACAAAATCCTGGACCGCCCCTGGGGATACTCCTAAATCAGATAGTTCAATTCTGGTATAAAGAATACCCCTCGGCAAGGGCGGATCCAGGAGGTTGGGGTCAAAGGGGGCTGAAGCCCCCCCCCCTTCAACAGAAAAAAAACGATGCTTTTTTATATCGTTTTCCGTTGTTTGACGGAAGAAACTCAATTAGCCCCCCCCCTCCCCTAAAATTTTGGCTGGATCCGCCCTTGCACGGTTCAGCTAGAAATTCTCCGATTTCATACCCTGAAAAATTGCRGATGAAATACCTTTCATGTTTTCAAATTTCGACAACTTCTCTACGTAAAAGGATTTTTATTGATTTAAGGCTGCGTTCATAATGTAATGATTTTCGGGAAAAAAATAAAAATATTAATAAAGAAAATAAAAATTCAAACGCTTTTAAATATATCGAATTCGGTCGTAGCTTACACTKRTCGCGTGACGAGGGATTTCSGGGAAAAATARCGCGTGATTCGGGATTATGACCACCCCTTCCAGACCCTGATGGCSGAATTTCCTACAAGTGATACACAGCCGGCCCACCTCCAATCAATCATTTTGATAATTTATTGACAGTGATTGGCAACTGTCACAAAGCAATAGCTCAGACTATACACGGGATCTCTATATATCATGCCCGCAAAGGACTTYTGGGTAATGCCGTGAAGACTTCTGGGTGCTCTTGCGCAATTTCTGCATTTTCTGACCAGGAAAATAAAGACGGRAAAAAATGTTTGACCTGCCATAAAAGTTCAAATTTACTCGTTAACTCTCTGTAAGTCTCTTCGCAAGTCTTGGACTTAAAATTTTCGCGTACATACAGTCGACTCTCGTTACAGTGGACACCCTCGGGACCGTCACTTCATGTCCGTAATAGCGAGCGTCCGCCATAGCGAAAATTATTTACGGTAATTTCTTTGTCAGTATTTTTGTCGGGGATTTTTCTCCTGTCCGTAATAGCAAGGTGTCCGTAATATCGGAGTACTAGTGTCCGCAAGGCGAGAGTTGACTGTATTAAGTTGGAGCCAAAATATTATGGATCCTGACCTGCAAGTTTTAAATATTAAACTAAATGATTATATTTATCACCAACAACGTTCAAACAACTATTTTTGCGTCTTCAATTTTATTATCCCATCGCATCAAACAATACAGAATAATATTGTTACTGTAGGAATACSAAAACATATGCTTAGAACCGCTTTCGAAACCTTGAACATTTTCGCTCCTCTCTTAGAGAAYATTAAATTTAACCGTACAACAATGATACAGATAAGCTCTTATTAGGAAACATCTTGAGATTAGGCTGGTACACCATTAAACAATCAGTAAGATGGACGACAACACAATGATGGTGATGGTTAGTTCAGGCGGGATAACGCTCTACTATCATGCCATGACCCTGTGGAAATAAAACGTAGTCGTTTAGTCGACCAAAAGTTGTTTCAGGGTT